TCATCTATTCCGTCCTCAGTTAGTAGAAAACAACTTCCCTCATATATGTAGGTGTATGCCATTATATCACCTGCATTACGAGTTATGTCTTCCAGTTGATTTGATGTGCAAGAGCATGCTCTATGTTCGAATAATTAACGGCTAAAACAAGGAAAGCTTTTGACAATGAGACATATGAAGATAACCAACAGTGTTCAAGATCAAAAATCCATAAAACAATACAAAACAGGAGCAGAGCAAACACAGACCTCCAAAATATCAGAGGTTGGATCGGTGCCATGGAGGAGTGAGCATCCCATGCCGATCGGCCACACTCGCCGCGTGCTCCTTGTCATGATCGGGAAATAAGTTTATAAAACAAGGATTTCAACAATCTCGTTTCAAGTATGAAAAAGTTAGTGAATAATCAGAATACTGTATTTCTGTCTTCCTGCATGATAACGCACTTTAAAAAATTGTGTGACCGGTCGACAGGGGATATTTACTCCTACATGTGACCTGATTCTATGCCTGCTGTTTTTTTAGGTCCGTGTTTGTTATGCCTCTGATTTATTTTGCTACTATGAATTTTTGAGCATCTTTCTTTTGAGTTCAAGGGGATATTTCTGTTCAATGTAGGAATGAAAGTAAATTTTGTTAGTAGATAACAAGTCGTGTGATCAGGTGCCATGAAGGAGTAACACCTACTGACCGGTCACCTCCGCCTTATGCTCCTTTTCTTGATCGGGAAAAATCCGTAGACAATACAATATGTATATGAGAAATAAAAAAGTAAGTAGTCATATAACTCACTCCTTACAGTGTATGACGACGTCAGAAAAAAAACATCATTTTTGGAATGTTTATTAAAATAGTGCAGAATATTTTCTATTTATATACATCAGAGAACATGTCAATGGTTTAAAATCCATATGCCTCAGTCATTTTCTTCTCCCCCAAAAAATATTTCATAGCAAGCGAAGGAGGAAATATGTTCATTAAAAATAAATAGATGGCTCTACCTTTATACAACATATTTTTTAAATAAAGTGAAAAAAGAGGTCTACACAAAAAAGTCTAGGTTTTTTTATCGAGTCTTGCAGTCTTTATGTACTATTCCTGGTACATGGGTATTTGTTGACCAGAATCCAAACAATTAAAACCAAACAGTAGAAAATGATCAGAATTCCCGCAACCACCAACACTTCCCCGGGAAAGCTTGCTGCAGTCATCCTGAAAAAGACCCTGTTTTAGTACTATATTTCTGTGCGCTTTTAATTCTTTCCAAATCGAAGGCTGTTAGGCATACCATTTTTGTCAAGGTTGAAAATCTGTTATTCTGTATTTTAAGTAACTTTATCTTTCCTAATAAGATAAGATCCATAAAAATACATATATATGATAAAATCATGGAATGCATGTATAAGAGAGAGAGCTCTTTCCAGCAATTATCTTGCTCGTCTGTTCGCCCATCTACGTATTTGTCTCTCGGCGAAATCGTTTCAGGGCCATAACTTGTGATTGAGAAATTGATCCATGGCAGATAGATTAAATTTGACTCAGGATTATATCTTGAAGTCACCTAAAGATCAATTTTGCAAGTTTAAAGTCACAAAAAGTGATAGAAAAAATGTAAAAATTAATGTTTTATGCATGTCCGTTTCATTATCTTTCGTATTATTCAAATGAAGAGACATTGAAGGTTTCAAACTTCACACAAATATGCTTATGTGGTGAAGTTGTCTTATGACCTTCACTTACAAACAGTATTCATGTTCATTTTAAAATCTTTTACATACCAAAAGCTTATGAAAAAATAAAACTTTGAATTTCCAATCAATGCTCGATGTTTGCTGCTTTTGACTCTTAATAATTCAAACTTTTTCTTGCGACGGGTAAAATCAAAAGTTTCAAATACCAAGTGCATGTATATTCAATGTTGTTTCCCCCTTTGATATTCTATTTTAATTAAACAATCATTAATTTTCTTTGAAGATACTTTTGCATCAATTATTTATGAAATATATATAACAGAAATGTGATAAAATGAGAGTGCATGTAGGAAATGGAAGAGCTAAACATTAGAACTTAGGCGTGTTAAATTATAATTAAAATTTTAAATATATTTTCCTAGTTATAATTGAATATTCATCTTATTGTTCGGCCAAAAGAATTGATCAAGATCAAAAGATCCAGATGAAAATAAAGGCTTAACTACTTACGATTTGTAGGCAAAAAATAGATAAAGAACGGCCATAGTATTAACAAAATGTTGATGTTAAACGAGGTTGTTGAAATCCTCGTAACTTATGTTGAGTAACCTGTCTCGTTTTCAAATTAATCACACGCAGAGCAAGCCATATGGTATCGAATAAGACTGGACACAAAACCCCATAGGCAGGTGATAGCAAGGTTCATTCCTTACATGTATCATTTAATCTCAGTATGGAAATTAAGACAATTACCTCCAAAAATGGCTTCAAATTGAGCTTTTTTTTAAAGTAACGTAAAGCAAAGTAAAACGTATTTGATGCAACTCATTGTGACGTAGGCAACTTATGTTATATAAACGATATAAACTAAATCTTTTATCCAATCAAATGACGTGTTACAACTTAAAATTTTTCGCGTTTGTCATGAAATTTAGTTGTTGGCCTTTGATCGTCTTTAGTTAGTAAAACATCCAAATATGAGACAAATGTGTCAGACTATTTGGTGTCTTTTATTTCAAGTTCACTAGTTCACTAGAATATATCGAATCCACAAAATAAATGAAAATATAGAGTGCTAATTATAACGTTCATTTTTTAGTGCAAGTTTATGCATCGGACTCTTCAATTTTTTGATATTGTTTTAATAGAAAATTATTTTTTTAATGTGCGTCAAATTGAACAAGTTATATGGACTAATCAACGCATAGCTAAATCAATTCACAGTAGTCGAATTCATTGGTAGTAGAATTCATATAAAACCATATGAAAAAGTCAGTCCTAGTACATGTGGTCCATTATTTAATTTCAAGCATAAGTTTATATATTTAAAAAAATTTCTTACCTTACAAGAGTTAATCAGCCGAAATGCAGGAGAAAAATAACCAGTACCAATTATTATATATCTAAATTTCTTTATTCCACTTTTTTAATCACCCATTTATGTTAATATTTTTCTGATAATTATTCCACTTCGTATATATTTTCTTTTCTACTTTCGGATCAATGATTTTAAAGATTACACACAAAAATGATCAAAGCAAACCCAATTCTAAATGCAAACTTGAAAATAAAAATTTCATGTATAAACTAAACAATTCTAAATTTAGTTGATTATTATTCCGTCTATCTTTATTTCAAAAGAGCATCATGCAAATTTGTTATAAAACAATGGAAATAATTTATAGAGATGTTGAAAGAAAAAAAGGAAAAGTCTACCTTTATATGGTTAAACAATGTAACAGTCAATCGTTTTTGTTTGAAAAGCTCACTCTTATAATTGTAATTTGAGAGAATTTCATTAAAGTCCTCCCAAAGCTATTTTGCCGGGTAAATCAAAATGCTCTGCTAAAACCCCGTCTTTTCTCCTTACAAATTAACTACTGTTAAGAACAAACTTCAGATGAACACTAGAATGGTTTAAATCAGATGTTGATCCACAAAAACTCCAAATAATATATTTTAAATGTTTAAATTAACAATTTTTTCTCTCAAAAAAAAAAAAAAAGTAAAACATCAACCCGTACGAGTTCTATGCACTTTCATCAACTACCGTATATACTTGCCTATAAGTCGGTCCGCCTATAGGTCGGTTGTATTTTTTGGGGTTATTTTGCAGGGATTTGCCATTGACCCGCTTATAAGTCGGTGGAGCTTTTTGTCTTATGACAGTCATGTGACAGTTTCTAATAAATGGTCTGTTTTAATCTGATTTCAATTAATATTTTGGGAAATAGCCATAAAAGTCCATATTTGACTTTAAATCATAAAAAATAAATAATACCCTTTTTAGATGGAAAAAAATTATAAAATACATGTATATGAAAACTTATACTTTTTGTATAATCTTTCAATACATAAATGATATCATATATCCAGACTTTGTTCAAAGATAACTGTTGAAAATGTTTATAGAAAACTACGCTTCAGTGTCAAGAAAAACATTATGTCTTTTTATGACTCGCCTATAAGTCGGATATAGACTTTTGGACTAAAGTTGAACTCCCAAAATACCGACTTATAGGCGAGTATATACGATATTCCTCACGATTCATAATAACGTTTTGCCAAAGGTCAAGATGTTCAAAAATTCATGTTTACAAAAGCTTAAAATCTATGTGAGATATAAAGTAAGAACTTCAGATTATGAAAATACAATATATCATTGATTTACAGATAAAATGCATCACTTGAAAACAAATATATAAAAAAAATATTTTTTGAGAAAAATTTGCCTATTTAAAGAAAATACACCTGCTAATTCTGTACTTTTAGTGAAAAACCATCATTGCAGAAATAATATACTAGTATATTTATCAATGAAGGGAAAAATGGACGTGAATTGTCTCTAAAAAGTTGTTATGGAAAGCATGAAATAACCCTATTAAAACTGCCATTTGCATTGTACCTTAGATTTTAAATATTAACATTTGAAAACATTAAAAAATCACATCGTTTAAAATCACTGATCCTAAAAATAATCACTCGGAAGTTGATATTATAAAGAAGCTGGAGTTTCTCATTGTCATTAATATCTATGTATAGTCTAGGGAGATCATGTCTTACAACAAACTGTACAGTGCCCCTTTATAAGGCAACCTGTTTAATATCCCATAAAGCAAAGATTATTCAAGATTTTGTTTTAGTCTTTGTTGATCAAAAGCACCATGCTTCCATTTTTCAGGTTGGGAGTTCAAGTTAAAATGATTTTAACGATTGTATAGACTTGAAGCTGCCTATCAACACTGAGAGGCTACTCAGGCTTCGTTTTATACCCCGTAATTCAATCAAACTCTGTAAAACACCTTTAAGTCAATATTGCATCAACACTTTATTTTTACGTTTAGTACACTACATTAATACAAAGTTACAGAGGTAATGCACAAATTAAGAGTGTACGTCAGAAAAAAATATCAGGAATGGTAAAAAGGCTCTAAAGTCAGTACCTTATTTGCTCTGCAAGATTACTTCCATCATTTATAAAGTTAATTTTCTTTTTTAGAAGTCTTGGTCAAAATTTAACTATTTTTATATACCTAAAAAACAGAAGAAAAATCGACAAGTCACATTACATGTATAAGAAAAACTAATTTTGCTTAAAAAAATAATGTTCACTCATCAAAATCACTGTTTTTACCCATAAACTACATCATTTAAATTTGTTTCTTTTCATGAAGATAAAAATTAATATTTAAATTCACAAACTCAATTTTTTTAATCCTTCCTAAAATCCGTAACAGACAACAAAGAAAATGACAGATAGAATTTTACATAACAGCAATTCCATTGCTTTAATCATCATTGAAAAATAATTCAAAGAGCATGTAAAAAATATTGGGAAAAAATACTTCAAATACAAAAGGGTAGCTACATAACAAATATCAATAACAAAAGTTACACAAGTAAAATTGAGGTGGGATATGAAATACTACAGTGTTCTCTCCAAAACAGCTTTCACTGGATTGCCAATACATATTCAAAAAAAAAAAAAGAAAAAGAAAAAAGCCTTGTGTTTAAGTTTTATCAAAATATATCTACAAATATTAAAGAATGAACAAGAGTCTATAAATTTTTTTTTATATAAAATTCAATTTTACAGAATTCTTGCATTGTTTTCTTTTTTCAAGATTGCATAATTTTTTAATCTTACATAATCATGATTTGTTATTTTTTTCATAAACTTGTGAGGAATAAAATTTATGTGTATCATAATCAAAGTACAGGAGGTACTCCTCTACAGTTAATTTCTTCCCTTAGAAGGTGTCCATATTTTGCCAATGTGAAAAAGTGGTATAAATATAAATATTAAAGTAAAATGTTGAACACATCTTCTTAAGTAACTCTATTGCACAAGATAATAAACAATCATAGGACCCAGTTGCAAAAAAAGTTAATTTAATTTTTTTCAGCTAAAGCCAATGTTTAACAGGAAAATAACAATTGTCAGCAAAAAAGCATTTTTGCAACTCTGTCCTGAAATTTTACTCTTAAACTTCAACTTTAAAGCAAAATTTGATCACAATTTTAAGAATCAACATCACAAAAATAATTTTCACCATAATAAACATTTTAAATTTTATTTTCATCATTGTTTATAATTAGTTACAAACAAGAGGTTGAGCCACAACAATGTCATAATTATAAATAGAAAACATATAAAATCTTCAAACTTAACAAATATATAGAGATTTATAAATAGATATATCAAAGTATATCACCTATTGAGAGACATGACATTTTAATATAGCACATTGTAGATCAAAAATAAAATGGGCACTAACAGGAAAAAGATAGGTGGGAAAACTGAATCCAGCTGGAAATATATTAAATTTTCCTTATGACATTGAGTAATCTAGAAAGTATAATGTTTTTATTGAGGAATTTTATTCTCCTCAATTTCCATGAAATTCTCTGTTTGTAAATGCCCTGAAACCCAATAAATTCACTAAAGCTAGACTGGTAAAATATTCTTTTCAAAATCATTACAAGCATTAAAAGTATTTTCTTGAAAGTGGTTTTGAAAATCCGTAACAGATTGTAAAACATTTCAGAATTGCAAATTTTATCTTCAGAAGAACAAAAAAAATGTTAAAATAAAACAAAACAAACTTCTTCTTTCAGAAACACAATTCTTCTTCAACCATTGTAAAGTTTTTTTCCCACATACACCTAAGGTTCATCCCTGCATAAAATCTCATCAAAATGTGATTGTTTAGAGCAATTAAGTTGAGACCACAACAAAAAAAATATAATGTGTGTCGACTTCACACTGGGGGTATAATATATATAGATATATTTTTATGTATATACTTTTGACATCATTGATAATTCCAGGTGATGGACATGAGACTATCTATAACAGTAACAGGGACACTAAGATGACTATTTCCATGGAGATGAGCTGAGTGACTAGAGAGCCCCATCTGGTGATGTAAGGGGACATTACTGCGGTAGCGCCTTCAGTATAGCGTGAACTTCCTCTGCAACTGCAGCCAGAGCAAACTGGAACTGTTCCTGAAAAAGTCAGTCAACAATCAATATAACACTGATAAATCCATAACTATACCTATAGGTTGAACCATAGCTTACTTCCCTTCATGCATAAGTATGCTTAATTAACAAAAATGAGCCAGATTTTTACAAGTAAATTGCAATACGTAAAAAAAAAAAATACACAAGGAATTAAAAATTCTAAATTTTCATAAAAAAATTTATGTAGCTGCTCATCAAAATCATGCCCAACATTATACCAACAAAATTCTGTCTAAATTTTCATAAAAAAATTTATGTAGCTGCTCATCAAAATCATGCCCAACATTATACCAACAAAATTCTGTATGAAAAGAGGAAGATTCCATAGTTCTTTTATTTTAAATACTTTATCAAATAGCTAACCCCACTCTGGAGTCTCATTCTTAAGAAATGAAATGTCCTATCTTAGTAAATGGTTTGCTGTACCTAATATTTTATGTAAGAAACCAACTCTAAGGTTTGCATCCTGGACTAAAAGACCATGAATTTCACCATCTCAAGTATAGACAAGGAATTGTTGTTTTATTTCTGATATTTTTTATCAGCTTTTATATTTTTTTATTTCCATTAACCAATACTTTAGCTTAAAATAATTAATTTCTCCCCGAGCTGGAGTTGTCTTTCCTACCTTAGTTTTCACCATGTTTTTCCTCTGATCCCTGATGTGTTCCAGTGTGGCTGCTATGTCTATTTCCTTGGCTCCTGTTTCAATAAATAATATTAAAATTAAATATATTGAAATTTGACTTGAAATATTTTAAAGTCACATTGTTTAATTTACAAAAGCATCAAAGCATAACTATGATACCATTATTTTGAAATATATAAAAAATGACATTGAATACTTTGTTTTTCAAAAAAAAAAAAAAACTTTAGGTAAACATTTTAAAATTAGAGATGTATTCCACAACCAATGATTATCATATACTTTGCATTTCAGGTTATATCAAAGATTTAGTTCCTAAAATTACTTTAAAGCCATAAAGAACCTGTTGTCACCTGAAAACAACCTTTTGCAATGTTGTTCAGAATATGTGCTCCTGAAATTCACAATTCTGCCACAAAAAACTGATGTTATATGAAACTCACCTTTTGCCATTACATAATCCCAATATAGAACTTCAGGACCTGATTATTTCAATATACTGTCTGTCTTGAGGTTGAGAAGTCATATTTGATACTCACATTTTGCCAAGACTTAAAGGTTCAGAAGGGCATCTCAGCTAATGTACACCTTTTGCGGTTCAGAATCTGATGTTACCTGAGACTTACCTTTAGCCATGTGGTTCAGAATCTGATGTCACCTGACACTCACCTTTTGCCATGCGGTTCAGAACCTGATGTTACCTGACACTCACCTTTTGCCATGTGGTTCAGAACCTGATGTTACCTGAGACTCATTTTTAGCCATGTGGTTCAGAACCTGATGTTACCTGACACTTACCTTTTGCCATGCGGTTCAGAACCTGATGTTACCTGACAATTACCTTTTGCCATGCGGTTCAGAACCTGATGTTACCTGACAATAACCTTTTGCCATGCGGTTCAGAACCTGATGTTACCTGACACTTACCTTTTGCCATGCGGTTCAGAACCTGATGTCACCTGAGACTCACCTTTTGCCATGCGGTTCAGAACCTGATGTTACCTGAGACTTACCTTTTGCCATGCGGTTCAGAACCTGATGTTACCTGAGACTCACCTTTTGCCATGCGGTTCAGAACCTGATGTTACCTGACAATTACCTTTAGCCATGCGGTTCAGACCCTGATGTTACCTGAAAATTACCTTTTGTCATGCGGTTCAGAACCTGATGTTACCTGACAATTACCTTTTGCAATGCCATTCAGAACCTGATGTCACCTGAGACTCACCTTTTGCCATGCGGTTCAGAACCTGATGTCACCTGACACTCACCTTTTGCCATGCGGTTCAGAACCTGATGTCACCTGACACTCACCTTTTGCCATGCGGTTCAGAATCTGATGTCACCTGACACTTACCTTTTGCTTCAGAACCTGATGTCACCTGACACTTACCTTTTGCAATGCCATTCAGAACCTGATGTCATCTGAGACTCACCTTTTGCCATGCGGTTCAGAACCTGATGTCACCTGAGACTCACCTTTTGCCATGCGGTTCAGAACCTGATGTTACCTGACACTCACCTTTTGCCATGCCATTCAGAACCTGATGTCACCTGACACTTACCTTTTGCCATGCTGTACAGAACCTGATGTCACCTGAGACTCACCTTTTGCCATGCCATTCAGAACCTGATGTTACCTGACAATTACCTTTTGCCATGCGGTACAGAACCTGATGTTACCTAACAATTACCTTTTGCCATGCGGTTCAGAACCTGATGTTACCTGAGACTTACCTTTAGCCATGCGGTTCAGAACCTGATGTTACCTGACAATTACCTTTTGCCATGCGGTTCAGAACCATGTCAATAAGAGTATACGTTCCTGTTCTTCCACAACCATCACTGAAAGTAAAAGTAAAAGCTGAATGATTTATAATGTCAATTAAGAAATGTACAGGTCATTTATAGTCAAAATATTCTTCAAAGATAAAGCAGAGCAAGAAAATTAACAATAAAAGCAATTAAAACATTATTATTCTAGTAAAACTTTCATTTCCTTTTTTTATTTTTATTTGCTTTATTTTTTTTTTTTTACAATTTGCTTAGCTACAGGAAGTGATTTTTTTTTTTTTATCAAATTGAACATTTCAGAGTGATTAAAATAAACACCTGTATACATTTACATGCAATCCCCCTCCTTTTTAACCCCCTTCCCCAATTGCACCCCCCCCAAAAAAAATACAATAATAAGAGACTAACCTGCAGTGTACAACAATAGGACAAGATCTCCCCCTGTAGGACTTGTTCACCTTCCTGTAGAAAGAAAAACAACATTAATTTCTTTAACTTTTGTTTCACCTTATTTTTGACTATCACATTCAATAGTACATTTACAACTTTATCTGAACGGTCAATCCATATTGTCAACATCTTACAATATCGTATAGAACATATTTCTTTGTGTCTCGATTTTGTTTACAACAGTGGAGTCTTTTTATGGATGGGATTGCGCATATTGTCACTATATGATTAGATTTCTATTTAGTGGATGCAATGCAGTTGCAAAATGGCACAACATCAATACAAATAAAACACAAGACTCAGCATTCACTTTAGTTTCTATACATATTACAAAGTACACCATAACAACATCCATAATCCAGTGGTTCCTCTGATCATGTTGTTAAAGACTGCTCCTCAAATAATGTCTAGACAAATACACATCACAATATCTATTTAGAAATAAAGTCCAGTAAAAAAAAGGGCCAAGAATGCATCATTATCTCCCCAGTATTGCAGTCTCTAGTTGAACACTTTAAGAATAATGATGACAGTTCAGTTATTTACAGGAAGTGGACGTAGGGTCTGGATGGATGAGGTTTTCAGTTGACTTCTGTACATAAGTGATGTTTGACATCTGTTTCCCATTTCCAAAGTGGTTTCAGCTGATTCATCTGTATTTTGCTGGTGCCCACACAACCAATCCTACAAGCATTCCACGGACTGGCATGGTTGTAAATGAAGTGAAGGTTTTAGAGTGGTATCTTCATTAAGATTCAGCAGCCCAATCAAGCAACTGTTTGTCAGTTCTTGTGGATAGAACGGACCACCCTCTTCAAGGCATGCAGCAGCCTACAGCAAATGTTTCATAGCAAAGCTATTCGTCTTCTTTTACAGCAAATAGGACAGCTACAAAGCACTGACTGGATGTCTTCCTTTTGTATAGTAACACAAAATCAATGTGTCTTGCTCTACTTTTGATTTTTTGGGTGAGTAGAATTAGTGGCAAGATTATACATTCCAGTTCATTTTAGTGACTAAGACATCCCTCTACTTATGGGTTGTGGTGAATATGCTGAGTGATTAGTGGCACGGTCAAACCCTTGATCACTTTTGTGACTATGCAATTTGTGGACTCAACAATTGCTAAACCACAAAAGCTGTCACAGGAATTGAGAGGGTTATGTAGCGCTGGCTAGCTATGTGGCACTAGGCCTTCTACGACAAAAGCAAGCCACAGCTCTTAACAATTTTTTTTTTACTACATCAATAAAATGGAGTAGACTCTATTTAAGGGTTTATATTAGAAAAAAAGGTAGATTGACACCAAAAGCAAGATTGGAAAAACTTGATTTCTGTCTAAGATTTGTAATAAAACACTTTAGAAACCATTTTGATTTCATTCACAAAAGCAACAGGCAACAACAAATGACTATTATACAACACAGATAAATTTAGAAAAAAAAAAATATTCATTTTATAAACATTCTTAAATATGTTTTTGATCCTTTCTTTTGGAAATTTAAGCACTGATGTTGCTTTTGAATAAAAATTGCATAAAGGTATACTTTGAATTTTAGTTCCATAAACATAGCCCGATATCAATTTGGATTTGTGGTGGTGGGTGGGGGTGTTGAAGAGAAGTTGGTGGGACTGCTCCCCATTTTCAGGTATTTTTGAAGGTGTGACATTTGAGAGCATTCAGAGAATGGTAAACACATCTATTCTAGCAGTATTCATATTTAAGCACTTTATAAACCGTGTAGAAGCAGAACTCCAAGTGCTCTAATTTATGGTTATGTTTAACAGATGATGAGGAATGTTTTGTTACATTTTCAGTGAGCGAAATAATATGGATGTTTACAGTATTGAATTTCTTTAATCTTTTAAAGGAAAATTCTTAGTAGTAATCTTAATAAGGCTTTTTTTCATTTCTTTCATATATCTAAAATACCTGTTGGAGTTTTTAGGTTTTATGATTCAAAATCTATCATATTTTTAAAAGAGTTTTCCTTACAAATGAGAAAAATTTGTTTTACCCACTATTCAACATTGTGGGGCGTAAGGATTATTTAGTTTAGGTCTTGTTTAGATGCTAGAGGAATAGGTTATTTTTATGAATCAATATATAAATTGCCTTACCTTCTGAAATCAAGCAGAGCTTTGATGGACTTGGGAACCCCCAGGTCGGGCCAGGTCAGGTAGTGGAACTGTGTGACCGTCCGAGTCTCATTGGTCTGTAAGTTCTTCAGGTAAAAGCTTCTAACTAAATAGTCATCACACCATATATGTTCTGACACCAGATGAACCTAGTAAAAAGAGAAAGAAAAAGCTTCTAACTAAATAGTCATCACACCATATATGTTCTGACACCAGATGAACCTAGCAGCAAGAGAAAGAACACACTTCTAACTAAATAGTCATCACACCATATATGTTCTGACACCAGATGAACCTAGCAACAAGAGAAAGAAAAAGCTTCTAACTAAATAGTCATCACACCATATATGTTCTGACACCAGATGAACCTAGTAAAAAGAGAAAGAAAAAGCTTCTAACTAAATAGTCATCACACCATATATGTTCTGACACCAGATGAACCTAGTAAAAAGAGAAAGAAAAAGCTTCTAACTAAATAGTCATCACACCATATATGTTCTGACACCAGATGAACCTAGTAAAAAGAGAAAGAAAAAGCTTCTAACTAAATAGTCATCACACCATATATGTTCTGACACCAGATGAACCTAGTAAAAAGAGAAAGAAAACTTAAGCTGTGTTCATTGCATTAGTATGTCTGAATGCCAAAGAAAAGCAAAGGTGGTGGGGTGGGATAGCTTAAGATGCTTAAATTCCTGACATTAACATTTCAATGCAATAAAAACACAAAGAAATCATAATAGTTATGTTGTATGGTCATTTTTAACTAAATAAAGACATGTTTAAGATTTGTGCTCCTTCAAACAAGAAGCATTAGGTCCCATCAGAAAAATTACATGCCCATGATATAGAATCCCAATACATACGCAGGTAATGGTTCTTACATGCACTTCATTTTTTTTTTTACAAGAAAGAGCAGTAATCAATTTTACCTTTGTTTTCAAAGAACAGAGAATTCCAGGGCCTCCAAATAAAACCCCAAATGTTTTATAAGAAAAAACATAAGAGTTGTCACTTTATTTGCATTAAACAATAAAACCAATCCATCTCTTCTAAAAGTTTTAATAAGTTTTTAAATATTTTGGCAATTAAAAGGTCAGTTCTAAAGGGCCCACCCAGCAAAATGCCAGTACAATTCATTAAATCTCCTCTGGAATTTTTTTTTTTATTAAAGAAGGGCCTTTCGGGATATGCACGAGTTTTAAACAAATATTAAAGAGAATGCCACTTACTTCATAGATATGATACAAGTCACTTCCTTCCTCCGGCCAATAACGGTAACACATGGCCTCCCCGTTCTCCGTCAGTCGCGTCAACATCACAATAACGACACTGCCCTGCTCCCAAACCATCTAAATAAAAAATAGAAATTAATTGTCAGTCATGTCAGGATCACAATAACAACCCTACCCTGCTCCCAAACCATCTAAATAAAATAGAAATTAATTGTAAGTCATGTCAAAATCACAATAACGACACTGCCCTGCTCCCAAACCATCTAAAATAAAAAACAGAAATTAATTGTAAGTCACGTCAACATCACAATAACGACACTACCCTGCTCCCAAACCATCTAGTACAATAAAATAGAAATCAATTGCAAGTCACGTCAACATCACAATGACGACACTACCCTGCTCCCATACCATCTACAATAAAACAGAAATTAATTGTAAGTAACGTCAAAATCACAATGACAATGCTACCCTGCTCCCAAACCATCTAAAAAAAAATTACGAAAAATATCTAAAATCTGCATACATGATATTTAAATTTTACATTTCCAATGTCTTTGTCCGAGATAAAATTAAAAATAGTTAAAATACTTTATTTCTACATAAGTCTACTGGTTCAACAATAGGCGCGGTTTAAAAAATCACGAGCAGGGCGGGACAAATAGAGACAAGAAGCAGGGCTTGTAGCACGTGGATAGGCGGGATCAATAGCATGTAAATATAAGGAATAACTGTCAGATTTTTTTTTCATGACGATGATCAATCGATTGGCTTGCATGATAATTTTATGCATAAACGCCTTTATGCAAATTATCACGCAAGAATCATGAAATAAAAAAATTAGACAGTTATTCCTTATTTATTGAATCTATAAACAAAACATAGAACAATCATTTATAATATAAATATAATATAATGCTTGACCAATTAGACAAAAGTCCACTCATATAGGGTGGACTCATTACTTTTGGTGTACTTGGGATGAACCTTGAATGAACTTAATGCTGCATTTCATTTCAGGAATTTTGCAACTAATGAAATCAAACTCTTTTCTGGAAACATCTTGACTCATTAAGATTTTCTAAGCCTACACTATTAAGGAAACCTTGTAATAAACTGCACTTAATACCCTACATAAAAAACATTTCATTTTCCTTACATGATATATCAAACCCTTCATTAACAGAAGAAAATTACAAAAGAAATGGTCTGACATCCTTTATGGATATTATATAACAACATTCTGACCTACATAATTTGGATAAATCTGAATGATGTGAATAGTGTCCTTTAATGGGAATATTCAATGTCTGTTTATAATGAAGACTTTTATTTACTTCTTTACTTTTTAAAATTCATTTTAAAATATAATGAGTTTTATGAAACTTGAAATGGTGCAAAGTTTTTTCCCATTCATATTATAATTTTTCAAAAATAGATTTGCTTTCTTATCTAGATTAGTAAAGCTGCTTTATTAAATCTTAATGTTAAAAATAATATAATTATATTCTGATTTACAAACAAGACAATGTCAGGCCATAAATTAGAACATTTCTTTGCATTGTAATTCCTTGTAAAGAACACAATTAAATAACAAACAGGGTCCCACATTTCGTCACTGTGAATAAGGAATAAAATGATTTTTTAATCTCTATATAAACTGGATTCGAGACATTGAATACTGACATTGAAATGCCACATTTTAACCTTGGAATTGATAATCTATTTCTTGTTGCTAACTTGGACATACAACATTTAGACACTAGATTTTAAAGGCATCTATTGTTCACCTTGACCTATGAAAAATTAACCTTGGAAGTAAGAGTCATATTCTTATAACTTTTAATCACTGACCTTCACCTATGACATTTGAACCTTTGAATATATGTAGGCATCTATTTATCTCTGACCTAGCTTGGCCTAGGACATTAACGAATTCGTTTAAACATTATAAAAAATGCATTTTTCAAGTTTTACTATCAAATATTTTGCCTATACAATTAAACCGCCACCTTTTGTAATTTAGAAACATACATCTTTGGCGATATTGAATTTACAACTTTTAGGAAAATGAAATTTACTCACTTGAAATACCATTTAGTGGGTGATCTTAAAAAGTACATGTATATAAAAACATATTTCTAAATTTGAATAACTTCCATTTTGCCAAAACAAAAAGAAACAATATTTGTTTTCAATGTTGATTATGTTTTAAATTAATCCTCTCTGATTTTAATGCACATTGTTTATAGCAACATTGTTAATGAAAGCATGCGTATAATTATTTTTTTAAGTTTAAATCAGAGATCATGATATATCGTTATATCAGTGTACTTTGATGGGGACCCTTAATGCCACAGCGGCGAAGCCGTGACTAAATGATTTTTATTAAACACAAAAGTTATAACAGATTTTTATTGTTTATTTAAATATTTATATTTTTTTCCATGTGAGTTAATTTTTATGACAAGAACAGTTCATGACCACATTGTCAGAAATGACACTTAAAAATGGATGAAAACTGGCGCGATACAGAATTTGGGTAAAAAGAGAATTTTATATAGCAGGAAAAACGTTCTTGGGAAATCCTTTGCGAAAAAAATAATGGCGATAATTCGATAACGACCATTAAAACACAAAACTAAGGTTTTCTTGGAGAGATTTTATATACAAATGCTAAAAGGAAATAAAGTTAATTTTCTCATTTTTTTTCATAATCTTTAAAGTCGTTTAAGATGTTAAATTTTATGATATTTTAGGTATCAAAATCAGTTCGCTATATCCATAAATTCGTTATAATATTCAACTAAAATTTTACAAAGATTTGTTAATTGGAGGTCTTTGATAGCAAATTGCTTAATAAAAATACATATCTTTTCAAACTTGCTTTCACTATATCCGTGTCATTTTTAACCATCAGCCTTCCTTCACTAAAACGATACCAATCATTAATTAAATTTATAGGAACTCATTTATCTCAATAAACTGTCTACAAATTATTATATGACATTAGAGGGATTTCTAAGATATACAAAAATTGTACAGTCGTTTTTGAACAGACAACCATTTTTCGTCACAGGTGACCTACATAGTGACTTTTCACACTGTGAAACAAAGAGAAAAACTTTTTGAATATGCTATTTATACACCTTGTGTATGGCTATGTGTGTACCGAAATGAAATCTGAATTGTGGTTTTGTAGATATAAGTTCGCGAACTTTTTGATCACCCCTCGTAAGTCTGGGATCTTCGTGATTCTAAACTTGACTTCAAACTAAGTTTTGACAAGTTGGAGAAGATTGTGATTCTATCATTATAGTCATTATAGTCAGTATATTGTGAAGTTCTTTAACCTGTCATTACCTGCCAGAAGTCAGCCACTGTGTGGGACAGGGTGGTTTGATTAACATTGGAGATGATTTGATTCTAACATTATACAGTAGATTGTGATTACCTGCCAGAAGTCGGCCACTGTGTGGGGCAGGGGACCCTGGGTGGCTATGTAGGCTGGATTCCTCGGGTCATGATCCGTCTGTGGAAAAAAATAACAGTCATTTAGTACCATAACCTAAACACAATGTATTCATTGGCTGTAGACACTTTAACTTTAACTCAAGCTCTATTCATTCATTGGCTGTAGACTTTAACCTTAACTCAAGCTCAATTTATTCATTTGCTGTAAACTTTAACAATTAAGTCTGTGAAATTTCAATGTTACAGGCTAACAAAATAACAGTCCCTGCAAGCAGGAATGGTTGACAAAGCATAAACTCAAGATATATTTATCAGTTCCTTCAATAATATCTTTACCAAGATATTTCAGCAGGTTTTTTGTTTCTTTAAGACCAATAATAATCGCTTTCATTCCATCAAGAAACGATACCATGATACAATCAAGAAACTATCGCCATCCCTTCTCAACAACTTGTACCTAATGTATGCCTTCAATTATACCCCATTAAATAACGCATTATTTCTGGTCAATTTTTGTCGTTAATTTGGACGTTCTGATGAAGTTATGGGCATTTGTCGACCTGTGAATGGCGTATCATTTAATGTCATGATTGTCTTGACCCTGATTCCGGGTAATGATCTCGTATTGACATTTTGTCATCCGATCTGAAATACGTCTGATTTGGGTGGTCGTTTAACAGTAATGTTACTACAATCAATACGGCAATATATCTGTCAATTATCTGCATGTCGTGATGTCAATTAATCTGCACGTCAATAATATGAGTGTCCCCCAAAATTCAATATTATACAATTTTTACAATGGCTGATGGTTTAAACCCATTTCATACTGCAAAATAAAAATCTTAAGATCTGACTCCACGAGTCCACCTTTTGATAACCTGGTCATATTTCCAATAAATTTAATACAAGTATGAATTTCACTTCAAAAAATCTTTACTTGCTCTGACTTAATTAAATGTAAGTATTATTGCATACCGATTTCTCCATCTATTTTTACTAACAGGTGCATTTTGTCATTTTAGCAGGTTTCAAATGTGTCAATGAATGTTTTCAATACTTCCAGTGTGAAAAAAGTTTTATAGGGACTACACACTACTCTACGGTAAAACTCAATTACAGGAAAGTGTCAGGGTTATCAACATTTCTTTGCTCATAACTGACATTCATATCCTTGTATGGAAAATTGTGAAAGGTCCTTATAATGGAGATTTCCTTCTAAAGGAGTACTTCATAACTGAGTTTTACTGTATTATATTGTAACATAGGACTGAATTTGAATTCGTGAGTTTTTTTTATGACCAAGTTTTACTGTATTATGTAACTTACAATTGTACTGACATTTATGTAGTCTTGTAATTGAGTTCTATATAAATGAGTTTCACTGGAAGTATTATCATACTTACGATTGTGCTAGCGTTGATGTATTCTGAACTTGATGTATTACTGTATTAAATCTTACTTACGATTGTGCTAGCGTTGATGTAGTCTGAACTAGATGCATTACTGTTAGTGGACAAAACCACACGTGAATGGTCATCCCAAATAAAAAACAAGAGCATCTTTCCACACAACCCAAATTTCATTTCTGCAACCAGGAGAAGTTTTAGTCCACACAACCAAAATACAAAAGCTAGATCCACACAACAATATTAGGTTTTAGTCCACACAACCATCACACAAGTCAGTCCTTTTGACATCCACACTGACCAAATAAAACCTGGTCAAGGTAGAATAGGTCAAGAGAAATGCATTATCAATGCAGTCATATTCACACAACCAAAGAGAACAAGCTAGGTCAAGATTAGATCCACACAACCAAAGAGAACAAGATCGGTCAAGATTAAATCTATGCAACCAGAATAGAGAAAGCTAGATCAAGATTAAATCCACACAGCCAAAATACAGCAAGCTAGGTCAAGATTAGATCCACAAAACCTAAATAGAGCAAGCTTGGATCCACACAATCCAAATGGAACAAGCTAGGTTAAGATTACTGTAAACCAATTTTTATTTGCAACGACTTTATTTTGTGATTTACTTAAAGCAGAGTCCAAGAGTGTATGTTATTGCGTATTAGAGTGCCTAGCTCAAGTACAATGCCTCCCCATGGACTACAGTTCAAGAGTGTATGTTATTGTGTATTACAGTGCCTGGACAAAGTACAAAATGAACAGGCCTCCCAATGGACTAAGGCAGAGTACAGGGTATATGTATTTGTAGACTTATTAGTAAACCTTGCTAAAGTACATGATGAACTTTAACAAGCAATATCTGCTATCATAAACATTAAAATCATTAGGTACTTGCAGACAAAATGATAACCCAGACTGAATACATCCATTAATACTGAAGATATGCTATTTTTCCCTCTTGATACACTAACAATGAACATCTTAATTAAAGGTTACAAGCATATAAACAGCGCGACGTCAGACCTTTGGCTTTGCCAGGAATGAGAAGAATTTTATGTCATATGTCTTCTTTAGGAGAGCCTGACATAGAAATAAAATTACATGTCTCTTAACCAGGGGCTTGGCAGAAACAGATTCTGAAGATGCACATCCAATGCAGTGATTACTCACAGAAGCCAGGCTATTGATTTTTCTTTGAAAAAAGCCACCAGAAGATGATAAACTAGAGAACCATATAACAGAGAGACGGGGAATAACAGAGCCAGCAGTGTGCTTGTCCTTCCCATAGAAAACAACCCTGTAGTGTTGGCGGCCCTGTCGTGACAGACAAGACCAATTTCAATTTTGTCTGACAAAATACTATTGCTTCTGCTCGGCCCTATCGACTGAGAATTGGCGTGTTTAATGCCAGCTCAGTTGTATTATTCCGACTTCCACTCGTGAGCATGCAATTTAATTCCGTAATTTTATACTTGTCGGTTCTGAATCATCCGAGCATAAAACTGCCAGCGTATTATTGCCAGGCTTCTGTCATCACGAATAGAATGCTCCAAACAGGATGCTCCAGACATCGACTTTTACATCTTAATGTTAAATTTTTATTTTACTTCCGTGAACCATTTAATTGTTGCTACTCGATATTCTCATTTAATTTTTCAGTTAACACTATCTGTAATGAAAAAATTCTCCTGTTTCCATTTATTTCATGGAAGCTAGATTTAGTTTATTTTCGCAAAACAGCAAGTTTTCAATAATATATGTGTAGAACTTTAACTGCATTAACTCATTATTTAACATTATATAAAGAAATCCTAGTGAAAGATTTGAATATATTGACAAACAGCGTGCTGTCAAATTCAATTCCATTTATGTGATATAAAAAAAATAATCCTGATATTAATTTAGCTTTAGTCTAGAAATTAAAATACTTCAAACAGAATTTCATCAGCACTTCATGCAGATCCTGGTACTCATAACTTAATTCAGAAATGGGTTGCAAAAAATGAACAAGTCAACAAAGTTCCTATCAGCTATCGACAACCAAGTAATGTGATATAACCTCATTAATAAGGACTGCATTAGGAGAAAAGCCATCACAAAAACAGATGTCCTGATTAAATGGTGAAAAAACATATATTCTGAATTATCCATATAATAACTGCAAACTGTGTACCGATCATATCCCATGTTCGCCGTACGACAAATAACAAGTAATGGACCATAACTGCTGACTGGGTATCGTGTAATGGTAATCCTACCCCCACCATACAAATCTCTCCCCAAGCTGACAATGTTCAGTCAACATTCAGCACGGATCGAAAAGAACGGCAACACTCGACGAGATCCATCATTTTTCTGTCAAGATCTCCCACATGAAATGGGTAAGAGAATTGATAAAATGCAATGGCAAAATCGAAATGGCTTCTATCTTCCCAAATCGCAAGATATAGGGTTCCATGCTAGAGCTCTTATAGTGTGTACTTTTCCTCCCGAGGGAGAAAATGATACAGAAAGTCATGACTTCTGCAAGTTCTACCAGAGCGAGGGGAGTAATGGTTTTATTTCTGATGGCAAGTTTATGCTCTTTCACCACTCTTCAGAAGGAAAGATCTGATAATCTACCTTACAATGCCCAATAGTGGCACAATACCTTCCTCTCTTTGAGATATACATGTATATGTATAAGTACTTTAACAATACTACATTGTATATCAAATGAATATTAATAAAATCTTTTACGCAACCAAATTAAAATAGATTTTTTAGTTCATCATTCAACTTGTTTGATGACTGAGATCATTTGTTTGATATCTTATACTTGTTTTAGACTTACAGGGCACGGTGTCACTGCAGCGGTTTTTGTTTGATACCTGAGATAACTTGTTTGATTATACTTGTTTTCGACTTACAGGGCACAGTGTCACTGTAGCGGTTTTTGCGGATGTTGGCGGGGTCGTTGGCCACGTCGGTACTGGAGGGGTCGGCCTCGTAGCTACACAGCCCCTCCCACTCTCTGTCCAGCCGGTCCTTATTCTTCAGGTGATCCTCCATGTACGACTGAAACACAACAGGTGCTTGTAGTTTTTTTTTTTTTTTAGAATTAAAATAGTTTAATAGATAGGTTGGATTTAAATAAGTGATAACATATGCAGTCAAACCTCATTATCTCAAACTTGATGAAACAGAGAAAAAATTTTTTCGAGATATCCAAGTATTCCAGATATTGAGGATAAAGTCAGAACATACATGAAGGAATATTTAATGGTTGGATCTTGCAAATGACTTTGACATATCCTTTGTATTTGAGATATGGATGTTTGAAATGCAAAAGTTCAACTGTATATTTGCGAAATTTGCCATTATATTCATGTCAGCTTGTCACAGTTTACTGCACTCAATGTAACATTATGCTAAAAACTTTACATATTGAAGCTTATTAATTCAGTATGACACAAGGTTCTAATGATATATAACATTTTTGTACTACACACACAGACAGACATACCAACACGATGTGTCCAGTAGAGATGTCCATGTTTGAGGTAACTGGCTCTTCACTCCTAAAACAATTAACAACAAAGGCAATAAATCCTCATGCTGAAAACTTTCTTGTAGCAAACAGAACCTTTACATTCAATGTATAATCTTAAATATACAGTAAAACTATAATAACTGTTTGTGAAAGACTTTGCTTGCAAATAGAATAATTGATTGTGAGAAATTTAACAGCTTATTGACAATACAGAGACTCTTAATTAGTTCAATAAAGCCAAAATCTGGCCTGTGGGCCATAAAATTTAGACAAGAATAATTCTGATCTAGCTGTCTCACTTTTCGACTATTAATTTTTGGAAAAAGTGAAGAAGCTGAGATCAGAAGTGAGTTTGTCTAAGTTTTATGTTCCCCAGGACAGGTATTCCTCTCCGCTCTTTGATGGTCATGTCTCCCTTTTTGTTTTCACCTTGCTCTACCTGACCTTTCAATTCTTTCCCATGAGAACCCTTCCTCAAAAGTAGAACCAAATAACAACATAAAACAGCATTTAATTTTTGTTCACTTCATTCACCAAACATAATTCGGATTGTCAGTAAGGCAATGATCGCAATGTACGAGTCCCGGGGGATCAGAAATTCTGACGGATTACTGAACAGGGACGTATTTACTGTACAGAACTAGATGGCATCTTGTCATCTAGGACCAAATGCTGCAACAAAAATAACACCCCTGATGCTGATTCCTTCCAATGTGTTAACATAATTCTTCATTTATTTTAACATTCTATGACTATATAGAAACAAAATGACAAATCAAAATGTATGCTGTGCTCATGCAGTCCTTTCAAAATGATGTACAATGCATATTTTAGAACTATTCCAATTGCATTTAATAAGCATTGTCTTAGCCCTAATACATGTACATCACTTTCAAAGAAAGCCAGTGTAATTTAATTTCTTTTGTGATTTGAAAACTTTCCTCTGGTGCAAATATATAAATAATATAGATTTATCATTTTTCAAACAGATTCACCAACTTGCATTCTAAAGAAAATATTTTAGAATCATATATGAGTGGTATATATTTACTTTATTTCAAGTTTCTGAAATTAATGGGAGATAATTTTTCACAAAAATACCAGGTTGTCCAAAGAGTCTTCTGTTTTTGTAAAAATACACCTGATCTGGACGTCACGCACGTAAAATAAAGAGGGCTGACAAGTCATTATGACTATAAACGTGCGTCACATTTCTTCTGAAACTCTACACCAAGATTTTCTTAATGTTTGCTTGATTATATGTCTCTTACTCTTAAATCAATATCATGCATCTAATGAAATTAATATAATTCTTGTTGTCAATGTCTAAACATGGTAATTATAGGGACTACATCTTTGCTGCTTCGGGATGGTAAGTGGTATATACTAAGAAATGGAAAAATACAGAAAAGAGGTCAATTTTTTTTTAGATTTTTAATAAAACTGGTTGTAACACTGAGGGTTTTTTTTTTTGAGGAAGCATTGACAAAATCTTCGACTGCATTAATGCTCACTAGTATGGCATTTGAGCTCAGCTCCAAAAATTTAAAAATTCCATTGATCAAAGGTGCAAACATTTCCTCTAACACGACACTATCCCGTTACTCCTTGATCAAAACACAACTCAAAACTCGACCAAAATCAAAACTTATCCTGGTCATTATTAACTTCTCCAGAAAGAAAGAGATAATCTGTCTCAGTGTCCCATTTATATATGACTGTCACATAAACATTAGTTTATTTCTTCACAGTGTGTTTCTACCTGATATGAATTGACAAACTAATGTCTGAAATAATTCCCAAAGGATACACCACCACTGAATGTACAAGTGAGAGGGAACTTTATGAGACTGCTCCCATTAAAGATTTCTCTGAATTGACAGATTTTCAGCAATAAAACAGAATTAAAGATGAAACAGTCTTATAAGTAAGAAGCGATTTGTCATCCCGGCGAGTGAGCAGGTTCAGCCGTTGGATGACAAATAAGGCCGAAATCGGCGAGCATTAATTGGCACCGGGATCTCTTTTTTATGGTGGAAGCCCGTTAACGCGGCGCTTTAATCATGGCAGATACTGTGACTTAACTAATGGGGGACGGAAGTGAGGACGCCATTAAATGCTGAGACAGCAGTATTCCATTATCTCTGACTAAATGAGGAACAGGCTTAAATAAAATGGCTACAGCCACTCTGCTAGCCCAATGGTAAACTTCAATCAATTTGTCAAACACAAACATATATCTCAGGAGAAGCCATTTCAAAACAGAACTTAAACAATTTTTATGAATGCCAGTATCAGCTGATTCAGAAGTCCTAATTATGTCCTTATTAAAATAAACATTCTTAAATACAATTAAATTTTTTTTTTCCATGATTTTTTTTAGTCCAGGAAATCATGATCTGACAGAAAAACTGTCAACCTTGAAACCTAATGCAATGTCAGGCTGCATGGCCACCATGTAAAAAATTCAACTTCATCGTTTTCACCTCACTAGTGTCACGGAACAAGAAAACACAATAGAACTAACAGCACGTGATAATGATTATTACCCAAAGACAGACACCGAGTCTATACCGGGGCCCTCGCACTGCATCGCATCGGAAGAACAATGCCTAATAGATCCAACATGCATGACTCATTATGTAGTAATTTTACCTAGAGACCAACATTTATAGAACTTTTATAGTCAGCCAATGGCACCATTCTTCCAGATATTAAGGCATGTTGGCATCTCCTAATTTTAGTCGGATTTCACATTTGCAATATTTTTTTTACACAGTACAAAACATTATTAGCATAATCTGTTTAAGAACTCAATGAAAATTAATCCAGCTTATAATGAATATAAAATTTATCAGATGCAGAATAATGGTTGTAACAAAAGCAGCATTTATTTGAGGGTTCTCTATTATTATAATTTAACACATTATTCAAGACCTGATGAATTATTTATCATGAACTTGGAGAGAACTGACAATGCACAAATTTCAAGATTACCTCCCTTGGTGTGCTCTTTCATAACAGAGGGGCATTTTGTTTCCGCTAAGCTGCGGCGGGTGGGACAGTTAAACATATTGGATAATTTCATCAGATTTATGCACTTTTGTATATATCATCAACTTGCCCCACTTCCATGCTGATATGTATACTTTTTGCACCTCTATCATAGGAGAGTTACATTCTTGAAACTTGCGTTACTTATCTATTTACCATGAGGAGGTGCTGCTCCGACTGGATGGACTGCGGACCTGCTCTCCGGACATGCTCCCAATCCGTGACGCCGCGTGAAGCGGTTCTGGCTTCTCTGATGACTTGCCTTGCATCCTCTGACGGCAGAGATCCTGTAAAATAATCACACGTCAGAACCGTTAACTCACAGCAGATTTTTTTAATCACATTCCAAAAGCAGGACTGTAAACTCACTACAAATACTTAAATCACACTCCAAAAGAAAACAATGTTAACCCTCTAGTTCCTTGAAGATTGAACAGAAACAATCGTATGGCATATTTAATACATTTGTAATAAAAGAAGGAAACTACTCAGAAATATTTGGACACCCTGGTAACCTAAGGTGATAAAATTAAAATTTCTAACATTGCCTTCTAATCGCTTTGACAATTATAAGAACTAGATTGTGTCTTCATTGTAGTCATACTATGCTGATTACCCATAAGACATTGCTGATTACCCATAAGACATTGCTGATTACCCATAAGACATTGCTGCTGATTATCACAACTCCAGTGAGAGTCTACACCATTTCTTTAATATATTAATCTGTATCTAACAGTAGATTATCAAATCCTGCTGCTCTCTTATCTTGCTGTTTTTAATTCCGATTTTGGTTATATTGATTGGAACATTTTCCGCCACCATGTGATGCAATTATAGAGATATTTATACTTGCTCATAAAGACATAATGTATAGGTCTATAGCTGCAGTTATTGGCTGCTTTAGGCCATATAAAATTGAAATCTTGGTTCTCAGACCCGCGCGCATCCGTTTTGAGGTAGCCGCATTGCCGATTTTATTGTATTTTTGATAAAATAAAAAGTTGGTATTACACCGAGAAAAAAAATTTCTCGTAGTTTAGTATTCAAATATACTTCCGGTAGCCATTTACAATGAGATTTTGGCTACTTCGTTTGAAATACATTCGAGGACATTGCCTACGATGTTTACACGCTGTTAAGCAATGGATATAGCAGAAATTTTGACCAGAAATGGAAAGTATATCGGTGATTAAAAAATTATCTTTATGTTAAAGAAAATTCAGAATTTAAAATTAAAAAAAAATACCTCCCTCATCTACTTTATTACCAATAAAATGAAAAATAAAATGCCGCCCTCCCGCATCTGTTTTGGAGAAAATTGGCCTGAGAACCAGAGAATTAAATTTAGATAGCCTTATATTAATTTCTGCAGTGCTATATAAATAGATATTGTAACAATGTGTTTCTATTGTGGATTAAGTTTTGCCGTCATGTTGTATGTCGTAAAAAAGAAAAAAAAAGATGCTTCCTTATTTAGAAAAATTAAATTAACTTTCCTGAATATGTACAACCATCTTTATCATGTTTATAGTGAGAGAATATTTTTAAAAATTGATCTTTACTTAAAAGTATAATGTTGCCTTTAGTATTTAGTTATATTAAGATTTCAAGGATTTCTGGAGTCTTCTTTTTTCAAAAAACTACAAAATAATTTGAACGAAATTGTTAAACTAGCTGCTAAATACTTTAACAAGAGGCCCAGGGGCCACAGCGTATGAGCACAGGTCTATCCAGGCGTTCATCATTTGAACAAACTAGAATCTACACTTACTATGATTCCATATAAATATCACTAATCATAGCTTTGAAGTACTTGAAAAGAAGATTTTAAAAGGTTTCCCTATATATTGTAAAAATTTCTAGCCCCAGTGCTTGAATCTACATACCTATTCCACATGAGTTTCATCTTTCCTGGCCCATAATTGAGAAGGATATTTCCTATATATTCCTATGTAAAACTTGTGCCATTTTGGCCCCACCCTTGCCCCGGGGTTCATGATTTGAACAAACTTGAATCTACACTACCTGAGGATGATTCCACATGAGTTTCATCTTTCCTGGCCCACTGGTTCTGGAGAAGAATATTTTTAAAGATTTTTCCTATATATTCCTATGTAAAACTTGGGTTGGCCATTTTACCCTTGTCGGGGGTCATGATTTGAACAAACTTGAATCTACACTACCTGAGGATGATTCCACATGAGTTTCATCTTTCCTTATTTGGAGAAGAAGAAATTTTTCCTATATATTAAAAATTAACTTTCCTGAATATGTACAATCTTTCCTGGCCCATCTTTATTTTTCTATGTTTATAGTGAGAGAATTCCACATGAGTTTATCTTTCCTGGCCCACTGGTTTAAAAATTACACTACCTGAGGATGATTCCACATGAGATTCATCTTTCCTGGCCCACTGGTTCAGGAGAAGAAGATTTTTAAAGATTTTTCCTATATATTCCTATGTAAAAGTATAATGTTGCCTTTAGTATTTTTGAACAAAGTTATATTAAGATTTCAAGATTTTCAAAGATTTTTCCTATATATTCCTATGTAAAACTCGGCCATTTTTTGCCCCGGGGGTCAAAAAACTACATGATTCCACATAATCTTTCCTGGCCCAGCGGTTCTGGAGAAGAAGATTGTTAAAAATGCCATTAATTCTTAACTGCTAAATCCCCTTTACAAGGATACTTTGTTTGAAAATGGCCCAGTGGTTCTTGAGAAGAAGATGAAAATGTGAAAAGTTTACGACGACAACAACGACAACAACGACAACAACGACTACAACGACTACAACGACAACGACAGACAACGGACAAATTTTGATCAGAAAAGCTCACTTGAGCCTTCGGCTCAGGTGAGCTAATTACACCATGAGTGAAACACAACCTAGGCATCCATCTAAAAATAAAAGTTATAGCCTATGGAGAGCTTCAGGTGTATAAATGTCCTTAATGTCTGCAATTTAAATATCTGAAATTGTCAATATGGAGTACGATAATAGCACTTTCATATCTGAGATGCTCTGGGATGCAGCCAAATAATCCTGCATGAAGGCGAGCAGAAATTCTCTCCCCCTAAGTTTGATGGAAAATGCAGACACATTCATCACGGTTGATCGTCGCTGAAGTGCGACTGGAAGTCCAATCCAGTCTTGTCGCCAATTTACTGTGGAGATTCCCATGGGAACTAAATGGATTTTTTTGTTACTGCTAAATGTGTGAGTTGACCATCAAGCAAATGTATTGACTTCCATTGACTTTAAGGGTGTGCTGATGAAGGCTAAATAATTGCCCAATATATATATAGAGATAGAGACAAATATATCAAGAAAATTAAGGTAGACTTTCACTTGATATTTCCAAGAAGGAATGACCATAAGAAAATACACGTTACACTTTTTTCCAAACACTGCACAGTAAATAAAATTCTTTATTACATTCTCTTGTTGTCTCAACTAAATCCATTTCTTTAAAAAAAAATTAATTTCTATGTATAATTATTATGCCTCAATACATGTATCTTGCTTACACATCTCAAAAATTTTATAAGCATGAGTTCCAAATATTTCTAGGTTTCTGTTTTATCTTGTTTGCCACACCAATCTGGGTTTTTTTTTATTTCCTCCTTGCTCCACCCATCTAGTTTCTTTTTATTTCTTCAAGCTCCAACCCATTTGATTTTTCCATTTCTTCTTTGTCCCATCCCTCTGGCTTTTCCTTCTTTTTCTCACCCCATCCATCTGGGTTTTCCATTTCTTTTTTGCCCCACTCATCTGGTTTTCTCTATTTCTTCTTAGCCCCACCCATTTCGTTTTTCCATTGTTTCTTTAGCCCCCCTTCTAGTTTCCAACTTTTCTTTGTTCCTACCATCTGGTTAATCTTTCCCTATTTATTTCCCTTTCTAATTTCTCATGCACCACTGACTATCAAGTTTCCAACCACATGGTTCAAGTTTCCTTTATCATTATCTGACCAGTACTTTGTTTGGTCTTCAACACTTGTGAACATTGTCATTAACTCAATGTTTGAACAACCTGTTCACTAACTAACTACCTGAACAACCTTGTCATGGGAGGTCAACATTACCGCTACATTGCCAAAAATTTCAACTCATTACCGCTACATTTTTTCAGATTTTCGACCGATCATTACCGCTACATTTTTCCGGCCAAAAACAGCTCATTACCGCTACATATTGAATCAGCCAAAAACAACTCATTACCGCTACATATCGATTTAACTAGGTATGGTTCGGTATATGAGTTCTAATAAACAGAATTCACTCACTATCTAATCAGAATGAGTATATAAAATTATATATAAATAACTCTGCAGTCGAAATTTAATTATCTAGCGTCATCTGAACATTATGGCCCCCTTTGAGAAGTTTGTTACAAATCGAGGGAATGCCGGCTTACTTGTCGATGGTTATAAATTTAGAGAAAAATAAACTTTCAAAAACTCAAAATTGTGGAGATGCGTTGAAAAGAGTTGCAAAAGCAGCTGCAAAATAGACCTCGGCAAATTATTGGTATTAGATTGGGCATTTGACAAAACTAATTAGAATCTTGTCTATATATGAACAGTGCTTGATTTTAATTTTTTGTGTTTTATGAAACAAAATTGATTTTAATTAGGGGAAACAGGTCTTATGCATGTATAGACTGTACTGTACATGCATAAGTGGCTAGCGAATGAAAGAGGCAATGTAGCGGTAATGTATACTTTTTTATGTAGCGGTAATGTAAGGTTTTTTGTAGCGGTAATGACTATGTAGCGGTAATGAAAATTTTGAAAATGTAGCGGTAATGATACGCACCCCTTGTCATAACTCCCTATCTGAACAACCTTGTCATAACTCACTATCTGAACAACCTTGTCACTAACTACCTAACTGAACAACCTTTTCATAACTCACTATCTGAACAACCTTGTCATAACTCACTATCTGAACAACCTTGTCATAACTCACTATCTGAACAACCTTGTCATAACTCACTATCTTAACAACCTTGTCACTAACTCACTATCTGAACAACCTTGTCATAACTCACTATCTGAACAACCTTGTCATAATTCACTATCTGAACAACCTTGTCATAACTCCCTATCTGAACAACCTTGTCATAACTCACTATCTGAACAACCTTGTCACTAACTCACTATCTGAACAACCTTGTCATAACTCACTATCTGAGCAACTTGGCTACTAACTCCCTATCTGAACAACCTGGTCATTAACTTACTTTATGAACACCCTGGTCACTAACTCACCTGATAGTCCTGAGAAGGTTCATTTCCCTCCCCTGTAGTTCCCGACAGCTGTGCCAACTTCTTTTTCGATTTGGAGTTCCTCCGTATGAGAAATATGATGACAGAAGCCAGGAGAATGCCGGCGATACATCCACACAGGACAAAGCTGAGTACGATGTACCTGTCATCAGAGACGCGCAGACTGACGGGGTTCTACAACAGAAAAAACATCGAAAACTTATAGGTCTTCTACAACAGAGAAAACACACACAACTTAAGGTTTCCTGAAGTGTAATGTACACTGTCTCATATGTCATTCCATGTGGAGAATAATTTCAAGATAATTTTTGAGGCATAGCTGATGCTAACACTCAATGAAATAAATAAATTGTGATTATACTGTGCCACAATTACAACTCTGATCAGGAAACCTTGAAAATGATATAAAGCGGACATCAATTTTAATTTTCCATATTTTACTCAAAATTTCAAAAAGCAATATTTTATTCAGACCAAAAAATTGTTGTTTTCCCGGATCAATAGCTTTAGCTATTAGTTCTTCTCAGGTGTATTTGTAACACGTACTCCTATTTATAATCAAAGCATTCAAATTTTAATTTTTAATTGTCAATGACTCAATATGTATCTATATAGTCTAAACCTAAAAGAAAATCATAGAAAAAATAATTAAGGATTAATTATGTTAACTTCCATGAAATCACTAATTTTCTTGGAGGTTTAATTTCTTTTTATTTTTGAGGTATGGAGAGACTCTCAAATTCATGACCACCTTGAAATGGACATTTTTCATATGCTTTACTACTCAACACTTCTCCTACCTTGAATCATTAAAAACCAATATTTCTACCTCAAACCTCGAAAATTTAACTATCCATGAAAAAAATGAAATGTAATTTTACACCAAAGTGCATGGATAAATAATTGCATTATCACCTTTGCTGGAAAAGTCAGTATCATCTAGCGTCAACTTATGAGAGTTATAAAGAAGCAGTAGATTTACATAAATACTTTTTTTGACAGTAACATAATGTTCGTTACATACACTGTATTGTGTCACAATTTTCTTTACCGACGTCAACCATGGGAGTGCAACACCAGCCAATGTTTCATTAAAATGCCCCCTGAGGGAAAAATCCCATGACACGAAATGACGATAATCCCGCAATATAAGGCTCAGAAGCATCAAAGCATTATATATTGCTAAAGACAGCTTTAAACCAGGGAGAGAATTCAGTGCTCCAAGCTGAAATTCTTTTTTTTTCATATTGATTCCAAGTTGGAGAAATAATGTCTTCAGGAATAATAAAAACAATAATCGGATTTTGAATCTTGGTGGCCACAAATTGTTTCAGAGTCTTTGTCACATATGCAAATCTGTCCACAGTTGAATTGGTTTAATTATTCAAAAGAGCTTAAAACTTCAGTGATCTTCGTCATCAGAGCTGACACAGGATCCTGTTCTTCAAGTTTAACGATAGGAAACTAAAACCCCGGTGTTAAGCAGTAGATATTGATTGGAGGCCTGTCTTTGAATTTTCTTGGTAATCTACATTTAATTAAGCTTTGTCAAGAACCTTTTATAGATTCTGTGCACAAATATATTGGATTTCTTTTGTCTTAATCTTTTTTTTTTTTTTTTTTTTGCATGGCCTCAATCCTTTTTTGGGAATATCCTAAATTTTTCCTCTAGCTCTATCTGGTATATATGATGTTTTCAGAATTATGGATATAAATTTTAGGTAAGGCTACATAAAATTGAAATTACAGTTCTCAGGCCCGCACACATCAGTCATGAGAATATCACTTCCGCAAGCCTTTTTCAAAGAGAACTTAGCTACTTTGTTTTAAAATACATTTAAAGATAATGCCTACGATTTTCAACCGTTGATAAGCAAGGGTAATAATGCAGACCTATTGATCAGAAATGGAAAGTATATCTTGAACAAAATTTTATCATCATTGTATAGAAAATTTGGGTATTATAAAAATACCTCCCTGACATCTACTTCATCGCAAATAAAATGATAACTAAAAAATATTTCCTCCCCGCACCTGTTTTGGAGAAAATGCCTGAGAACCAGAGAATTAAATTTATGTAGCCCAAGATTAAAAAAAAAAGATATAGGTGATGAATTGAGAATAAAATGTCTTTTAATATATTTCTGTCATTCATCATTACATCCATATATATAGAAAAAAATAAAGAAAATGAATGGCTGCTATTCAATACAAATGAATCTTTTTCTGATTTTTATAACCACCAATCTGTTAAGATATTATGTCCCCTGGCCATATATATTTCTTTATTGAAACCAGAAACAATAATAATTGGAGATATATCAAATCTCCCTCCTTTATTTCACATCATTAGAATGAGAGATGCTGTATGTAATAAACTAGTCTAATAGTAGATTTATTTTTCACACATCTACGTTATTAGAAATAATATGTTCTAAGGGCATCAAATTAGTGCGCTTAATAATACTAAATGCAGTCAATATATTACTGGTCATGAAAAAATATTAATTTCCTAAGAGATTTGGGTTTTGATAAAAAAAAAAATGGCAAAAAAAAGCATGCAGCCACGGTACTTCATTACACACCATTATAGTGAAGATAATTATAAGGAAGATATGGTTTTAATTTAACAAAGTATATAATTTCATTTTGTGTGCATGGTTTTAAAATGTCCTAGAGATTATTTTATTACATATTTTTTGTTTAAAACACGTAGAAAAGAAAGTGATTTTGGACTTCTAAAGCCACTTGAACATATTCAACAGTATTTGAAATTATCTGTGTTCACGATACCTACCAGTTCCAATGTACATTTAATGAATATTACTGTGGAATCAACAAAATTAATAGTGGGTCAGTCAAATCTTGTGGAAATTTGCTGAAAATTTATAGGTATGAGGGGACACAAATTCTTGTACTTTTTGCTAATTTAACATATCTACAATAGGGAAAATGGCTTTTTAAGAACCACAATTGTTAATTCACCAGGGACATGGATGCAGGGTATCCACAAATTCCATGAATATTGAACCATTATGAAATGTGATGATTTCACAGTACCTGTTGATCACAATCTTACACTTATATATCCATGATGTCACTTAATCTTTAGATTTTTTTTAACACATAAAAGTTACAGTTATAGTAAAGCAAGCTACCATAATCCGGTAAAAATAATCTAACGATGACACTAACAGTCGAAGTGTAGAATATCATCAAACACTGTTTTACAGAAATCCATTAAAGCTCATGGTTAAAATTGTGAAAGTTTATTGTTATACAGAACATGTTCATACAAGTACTACAAAGTTAATCTGAGGATAAAACAAAATTAATGCTCTATTCTATGTAAATAGAGGAAGTTTCCATTTCTTTTGCATGTTATTTAATACATTTTTAAAAAATCTGAAATATAAAGTTCAAGAAATCTTTTGCGAGATATTTTCATAAATTAAAAATGCTTTCATTATATTTCTTAATTTTTTAATTTTTCTCTCAATTCCGATTGCGATTAGAAAGCTGTCAGTAAATTCTTGTAATTTAGATATCGGAGTGCCCTCTCTGATATAACATGAATCTCAGAGCGCCTTGCAGTATAAGACTAGAGAACATTAAATCTGTAGAGGCTAATTATTGAACTCGAAACTCCTAGAAGCCAAATAAATTCAATCTACTGTCTGCCATGCAGACACTTTATGACGAAATCTCAAGACACGTGCTATATAACATCTAATGCATTGCAGTGTCGCTGATTTCACTTGAAATTTTTTTTTTTGGCCGTGGGGTTGTGAATGATTTCAGAATCAATACAACGACTGACCCAAGGCTGCGTACAGTTTATCAAAAGAAGACTAATTAATCCGCAACTGTTCCGTGAAGCTAATCAATAAAACACCCCGACTTTGATCAGCAGCCAAGGGGAAGTAACTACCACAATAAACGGCATGTCACTTGTACTGGGGACCATTATGTAATCATTATCACCAAGGATTTGTTCCCCGATTTCAGAGGCTTGTTTCATCATGGCTGACTGATTTTGGTGAATATGTGGATTGCTGGGGCGAGGAAAAAAACCCATGAGCCATATTTTTTTTTAGATTCCATTTCCATTCATTAAAGATACACAGACTGATAAGAGAAAAGTCAACCCTATATTTATTGATTATGACACATCTCTGTATTATTTTCCGTTGTGAAGTAATCACCACTTATTTGAATGTTAATTAATGTTCGTGATCCCTGCTTGTTAGTGTGAGTTGTGTAAATGTTGATCTTTTGTCAGGTGTTAATTGACGTATAGTAATTAATGTCATCATCATATAAACTGGCTACCATCTGACCAATGGGAAGGTTTAAACACCAGATGTAACCAGACACAACAAAACAAGGACAATTTCATGGCAGAAAAAAAGCTCCTTTTCTCGCAGAGATAAATAAATAGTCAACAACAACCTGTAGCAAAATTTAAACTTCCAAAAAAAGTACTACTATTTTTGTATATTAAAAGAATATATGTTTATTGCATAGAAATAAAATGTATATCTTCATACAGTTTTTTTTTTTTTACACCCAGTCACAACTTCCTTTAAGAAATCATACTGTGTTATTTAAATTTTTTAAAATCACCTACATGCGAGTATAGATTCGAGGGGCGGAAATAAAACAAGGGTGAAAATTTCCCTGTATAAAGTACCCAAAAAATGAAAACTACCGGTACTTTTTTATATATCAAAAGAATATTTCTTTATTGTATATGTATTTGAAAAAATTGTATGTTTTTATAGCCTTTTCAATAACTCTTTTTTCCCTACATCCTACTAAAAGTGAAGTTGTGCATTGAACAATTTATATACTAAATTAAATCAAAACCATATCGAAATTTAACAGAGAAATGGATTTTATATGTCTGAACACTGGTTATCACTGGAAGAAAAAGGCCATACTTCCAAAATTACTCTATATAATACATTTCTCAAATTTAGTGAGTACATGTATATGCAATTAAAAATACATGGAATTGTACTTTTTTTACAAATTGAAATTTACAATAAATATGTGAATGGCATTTTCACTTTGAAACTTTTTTTAACAAATGGAGTTTAAAAAATTATTAGCCAGCTAAAAAGCAATTATCCAAACAAAACCCTTGCTTAATTACAATGTAATGATGATGA